ATATTTTTATTATTTATAAATCGATAATTAATTTGAGAGGAGTTATGACAAGATTTATGAATGAATAATATAGTAATAAAAAGTGCGTTAATATTAATGAAGGCCTTATGGCTATGGCTTATGGCAGTCGAAGAACTAGTTTAGCGCTGACACTCAGATCCCAATACTTTCTTAATGAACTACTGAACTCTTAAGGGGTTAACACTTTTCGCATTATATTCACTTAACTTTCACTTAAAACACAACAAAAACACATTCCTAACTGTGAGAGAAGTTTGCATTTATCTTTAAAATCAATAACCAATTGTTCAGTAATTCTTTAACCTATAAATCCTTTATCGCAAGTGATGATTAAATAAAAAGTGCGAAATATTATTATTTTTTAGACAAACATTTGTAAGAATACGGTAAGAATTTACAAATACAGTAATAAACAAATAAAAAATTAAAAACAACAATATTTAAATGGTATTTGTTAATTTGTAAAATTATTTTATTCCATAAAAGAATTTTTAAATCCAAATGATAAATTATATGTAATATAAACTTTATTTTAATTAAAAACATGAATTCTCAAAAAATTTAATTTAAATTATTTATTTATTTAAAATAAAATTTACAAATATTATGAGAAATAAGTATTTGTAACAAAATTTAATTGAACACAAAATTATTGAATTATTAAGTTCTACAAATATTCAATACATACATGTAAAGTATGCTTAATTTATTAATTAACAAAAAATTATTATCATATTGAATTTAGTAATTATTAAAATTCTAAATTTAACAAATTATTAAAATTTAAAGTAATGTGTTGAACAAAATTATATTATAAACTATTATATTGACTATACAAAGTTATTGACAATAAATAAAACAAATCAAATAAAAACCCATCAGAAATATATAAATTTCAAATTTAAAACTTTAATATTACTTTTATACCATAATACTGTATGGATAACTTTTTGAATTATTTTTGAAATGAAAACATTGCGATTGTCCTTGCTTCATATTACAGTTTATATAATTTTCAATTTCTAAATTATATTCTAATAAATTAAATTAAATAGTTGTAATTAATATAAGGTATGAATTCTGGAAACTTTCATTACTTTTAGTATTGACTAAAATTTACCTACGGGTATTAATACTACAGTATAATACATAATATGTGTATAATGATAATTAAAACAGAAATATAATTAATCTAATTTATAAAAATTATTTTCATTTTAAATTTAGTAAAATATAATAGATTATAAATAACTTTATTTCTGATTTAATTATTGCTGTATTACAGACTATTTTACAGCTTGTGTTCACAAAATACTGTGTTTTATACTGTATAATAAATGTACATTTTAAGTAAAAAATTAATTTCAATATAATGTTTGAATAAAATACAAATTAATTAACTATGATAATTTATAAAATATCTAAATTCTATAATTGATCAAACAATATACTGTATATTCCACAGTATATAACAGAATAACCTTATGATAGCTTCAATTCTGGTGCTTTACAGGAGTGCCAACAATACAATCACATGAGCAATACATTACGTCCAATGCATGAAGGGATGGGTATTTGAAACAAAAGCTTTGTTTGTGTGGCGCCCATAGCCTGCCAGCCCTCCCGACCCTCCCGTGTGTGCAAAACCCCCCAAAAGGGCGTCAACTGGCAAGTGATCACATTTAGTGAATCCGTGGACAGTGTAGTCATTGGTGACAAACAGTGTCTTCAACACCGCTTTCCCTCAAGTCTTTGTTAGCGTTTGAGTGGACTCTTGAGCGCATGTCTTGATCTTCACATCAGTTTATCTCGAAATGTCTTCATTTTGCGACAATTGGTCCACAAATTGCACAATCAATACATCGTGTCATTGATTGCTTGGTGTCTATAGTGGCAGACATTCACACAAAACAGTATTTGCATTGAAATTAAACGCTAATCACAAGAATCACTCAAACTTTGGTCCGAAATGTCTGTCGCTTTCATCCCTCAGCAGAAGAGTCGACCGAATCTGAATCCCCAACAGATCCAAAAGGTTTGCATTTGAATGATAATGTTCGCCATGAATGGCTTTACTAATAGTCTTATGAATGGATCAGATGTTGGATGAAAACACACATTTGATTCAATGCATAGTCGACTACCAGAACAAAGGCAAAGGACAGGAATGTCTTCAATATCAACAACAACTGCACCGAAATCTCGTATACTTGGCGTCAATCGCCGAAACCAATCCCAATATATCGGCATTACTTCCGCCGCCGCAGAGCTTCACTCCGACCACGAACTCGATGAACAACCGGTCGGTCTCTCCATCGATGTCTCAGTCGATGGCATCGATGAACTCGAGCGCCAACCAAATGCAGATGCAGTCGCATAACCAGGCGATGCATCTTCAGCAGCAACAACAGCAACAGTCTTCACAATCGGCACAACCGCCGATTGGCGGCCAATCAGGTGGTGGTCAACACCAGACACAACACCCGTCGTCGCAACAGACGTCTCCCTCAATAACTCCCCCCTCGATGGCAGCCGACAGTCGTATAACTTCTCCGAACGGATCCAATAGTTCCCAAAACGACAACTTCATAGACGCTCCGCAACGGCCTCCGTCTCAGTCCCAGACACAGCCTATGCCTCAATCACAGCCCCCATCATCACAGGCGCCGCCGCCACTCCAACAATCGGGAGGACAACCGCCACAACAGTCACCGTCGCATCCAATGCCACAGAACTCCTCACAACCACAACAACCGCAACAAATGCCGCCACAGACTGCTTACTCGCGATCAATGGGTGCCTCACAAGCTATGCCACCCGTGGGACCCCCACCGCCCACCTCTTCCCAAAGCCAGTACGGAATGATGCCTCCGCCCCCACCCCCTCCACCCGTCTCACAATATGGCCCCCAATCACAGCAACCAAATGCTTATAGCTATGGCTCGCATTCACAACAGTTTAATCAAAACTATTCACAGCAACCGACCGCTCCCTATCAGTATAACTATCCCCCGGGTAACGGACCCCCAGGCCCTCCACAGGCTGGTGCTAACAGTGGTTATCCACCGCCACCCCCTTCCAACCAATACCAAGGCTATCAAGGATACGGCCCTTCAGGACAGTCAGGACCGGCGCCACCACAACAGCCGCCCCAACAGTGGTACTCACAATCAGCTCCAATGCCGGCTCAGACCCAACCCTATTCGGCACCGGCTCCCACTCACGCCTCCCACACGACACACAGCGCTGGTCCTCCACAGGGACCCCCACCACCCCCTCAGACTTATGCCGGTTATTCGAATCCGAGTTACAATCAAAGCTCCCAATACTCGCAACCAAATTATGGCAACACTTATGGTCCGCCTTCAGGACCACCGCAGCCACAGAACGGCGGTTATGGAACCATACCTAATGCCGGTCCTCCGCCCCCACAACAGAGACCCAACTATAGCCAACAGCCCTACGGACACTACCCTCAACGCCCACAACAAATGGGCGGTTATGCCGGTTATGATCAGTCGAATCAAGGATATGGCGGTTATCCACCGCAACCCCAATAAAGTTCTAAAACTATTTATTTCTATAATATTATGACTTTTTTTGTATTTAATTTGTTTATAAATTATCTAAAAATGTACTTATTTTCAGTAATATTTTATGTATTTTTGGTTATTTTGGTTAATAGTTATGTGATAATCGGTTTACAGTCTCGTCTTTACGTAACCAATCATTTCTTGAGATTAATGTAATCAATGTTTGCATTTAATTCTTTGGAGCTATAATTATATCAATAAAATTGATTTTCATCTCAATTACAAGCGTCTCATTTC